ACCCCTCTTCCCCCATCCTCTGCACTGGGCTCAGGTGCAGAGGCCCCGATGCCCTCAGGGTTCTCCCCACCGGAATGAGTCACTGGTTCCACGGAATGAGCTGGAATTTCACCAAAGCCCGGATGGGAAAGGTGTGGGCAGGCTCCTGCTGGAATCCCTGATGAGAGATGCACACAAGTCCGGGTAGGCCACCCACCCCTCCAGGTCCTCCCGGCCTGGCAGTGCCCGGGGACCTGCTGCTGCCTGTTGGGGTGTGTATGAACCAGGGAGGACCCTGCTGGTCCCAGCAGAGCTGAGGGGCTGAGCACGGGACTGCGGGACAGGGAGCTGAGGTGGGAATGGCTTTAACCTGCCAGAGGGGAGATTGAGATGGGGTCTTAGGCAGAGTGGGTGCTTATTCAGGCGGTGCAGACCCCAGTGAGTGAAGCAGTAGCCCATAACTAGGAACACCTCCCATTAACCCCTTCTCTTTCGCAACCTTGAGCACATCCTCTGGTACCTCATCTGTGCAGGCGTCGTGAGGAGCGAAGCCCGTGCAAGACAGAGTGCTCTTCAGCCCGATCAGAGCTGTGCACCAAAGGAGGCCTCCTTAAATAAGCCTGCCTGAGTCACCTCAATCATGCCGTCCCTCCCTGCAGTTTCCCTTCAGGATCATTAAGCAGCAGTAAGTGAAGAGGTGGAAAAAGCCAAGGAAGCATCCACTTCAGAGGTGGATGCAGCTGCCTGCTTCCTCCCAGGGCCTCTTCCTCCTTGCAGCTGAGTGCAAGCCAATGCCTTGGCACGAGTGCTCCTGGCTGTGATGGTGACTCCCGTCTGCATCCCGGTTTTGCAGTTGTTTCGGGTCTCAGGAGAGCTCCTGCTGTCGCACGACCATGTGGAGCCTGTGCTGGTCTGCAGGGCACAGGTACCTGCTTATTGCTCCTTGGCAACCCCCGAGGCACAGAGTGATGCCCTGAAGCATCGCCTGCACTGCCCTCAGGGTCCCCATGGACCTGGAGCCCAGGGATCCCGCAGCACCTGCATGAGCACACGTGGTGCCCATGGACAGGCCTGCACAGCCCCTGCTGCCTCCAGGCATGGTCCTGCCAGGGGACAAGCTGTGCCCACAGCCCCTTTCCCATTGCTCTTTGGGAGCTGCCCAGGGTCAGGCAGGGGTGCACGGTGTGGTGCTGCTGCCCTGTTCTGTGTCTGAGCGGTGGCTCCTTCCCTGCTCGTGATGCCAAGGCTGGGGTTATTCATTTACATCCTGTACCAGGACGTGGGCAGCTCCCCACCCATCCCACGCCCTGTATCCCTTGACAGCCTTCCAGTGCACGATCAACCCTCAAGTACAATGGAGTGTTCCTCCCAGCGCTGAAAGAGCTGCAGAGCGCATCAGCGAGCTCTGCAGGCAGGGATGGAATCTGCTCCCTGCTCGACGCCCCTCACTCCGCGGACACAGCAGCGAGCCCTCGGGGCTGCAGGAGCTGCCAGGCCAGGGAGAGAGGGGAATCCTGGCTCTGCTGAAGCCACTGCGTGTTCCCGGGCAGGCAGGATCTCATCCCAAGGCCGGGCTGGGCTGGGCTGGGAAGGGGTGGGTTTTCCTGCCGGTCCCACCCAGATGGCAGTCGGATACGGGGCAGTGTTTAGCCATTGCTGAGCCCTGGTGCTGCCTTCATAGGACACTTTCTTCTTGACAGTTTGCAAGCAACGACTTTGTGATGCTGATGCTGATGGAGGAACAGAGACAGGGATCATTGGGCGCAGTTCAGGAGCTGCGGTCCTTCTCCACTGATTGTAAAGAGAGACTATTTAGGCTTCTAATGTAGATGCTTGAATTAAGCACTAAAGGCTTAGATGGGATGAATCTGACCCCAGATGGCCCCCAAGCCAGATGCTGGGTTAGCACTGAACTTGAACTGGAGCACAGGGCTGGAGGAGACCTCGGCTCTTCATTTGGTCCACAGGCATTTTGAGGATGCTCTCCTGTCCTGCCTCAAGGCACATGGACCTGCAGAATCCTTCCCAACCTTGCCTTGATAGACACTGATCTATCAAAGCCCAACAGCCTTGAGAGGTGTTGATGGGTTTTGTTCTTTTATTAGTAATATACCATGTATATATTATAGTAATGTACCATGGTATAGTAATATGCCATGTATATATCATAGTAATATACCATGGTATAGTAATATAACATGTATATATTATAGTAATATACCATGGTATAGTAATATAGCATGTCTATATTATAGTAATATACAATGGAGAAGTCAAAGCATCACTTCTTGTGTCACCAAGGGAGCAGGAGGGTGACAGTGCCCGGCCATTGTGCAGAACTGCAGCTCATCCTTAAGCTATGGAGGGTGGCAAAAAGCAGGGGACAGGGCTCCTGTGTGGCCCCAAAGGTGCCAACCAGTTTAACCTGAGCCTGTGAGCAGGATGCATCAAGCAGGCCTCAGAGCTGGGTATGAGCAAGGAAGGACAAGGCCTGTGTTTCAGCCCGTCAGGCTGGGTGCACCTCACTGCTGCTGTCTGACAGCATTGAGCAAGGCTCATCATCAGAAGGGTGCCAAAGAGAGCGATTGCCTCTGATCCCCTGCAACGGGAGCAGCAGTCCTGAGAGCCACCAGCGTGTCCTGTGGCCACCCAAACGCCTTGGAGACAGGGACAGCTCTGAGGTCATGGAGGGCTGGGTGAGCATCGCTCCTCTTCCCACCCTGCGAGCCCTGGCTTTTCCTTTGGGCTCTGCAGGCAGTCAAAAGCTGCCCCTGAGCCAAGCCCTGCGTGTGTTTGTGTTCGTTTCGTTCTTTGCCTTGCAGGACTTTTGGCAATGATCCCAATGTCTTCTTTTTGTCATCCCTGTAAATTCAGGAATGCTGCTGGTTGGCACGGGGAGCGCGCCCACTTGAACAGAACCAGGTGACTCAAACACCCACTGTTCTTTGCTTGGGGGAGATTTTAAGCAGGGTTGACATCTTTATCCCTTCACTTGAGGCAACTCAGGCAAAAGGAACAGCCACAAACCGGTGTTAACCTGGGTGTTTCCTCCCTTTGATCATTCTGAGTCACTCAGCCTTCATGTTCTCCTCTTGATTGGTAGCAAGGGGCATGGCCAGTGGGGTGAACAGTTCAGCTGACAGCACTGAGGGTGGTTCTGGCTCTCCCAGTGCCCACGGCTGCAAGGATCTCCACTTGATGCTTGTCCTTGAGGTGCTGGCACAGGGTGCCCAGAGAAGCTGTGGCTGCCCCATCCCTGGCAGTGTTCAAGGCCAGGTTGGACACAGGGGCTTGGAGCAAGCTGCTCTAGTGGAAGGTGTCCCTGCCCATGGCAGGGATTGGAACTGGAGGAGCTTTGAGGTCCCTTCAACCCAACCACTCCGTGGTTCCATGATATGGCTTGAATCCAGCTGTGGTTTAGGTTCTTGTTGTCTGAGACCAGAGGTGTGTGGCTGCACTTTATCCCTGTCTCATTTACAAGCAGTGGGAGAGCACCCTCCAAAATGGGAGCTGCTAATTTTAAGTGTCAACGTAGCTGAAGGTGCCAAGCCTTCCGAAAGGGGAAGGGATGCATATCCAGCTACACTGCCTTAGCTTCGTGCTGCTCTGGGGCACTGGGTGTTTGCACCGCTTCCAGGACATTCAGTCTTTAGTGTGCAGACATAATCCTTTGTTGTGACAACCGCAGAGGTAGGAAGTGATTGTGAAATCCCTGGTCTTATGGAAGAGGAGCAGGAAGCACATCTGAGGTGGTTTGCACTCTGCTAATGCTCTCCAGCCCCTAATCCCAAGGGCTTTCCAAGTGCTAACTGTTAAGAGCTGCCTGTTCTCAGCAGCGGAGGCTGCTCTGGTGTCGCACAGGGATCTGAAAGGACCTGAGTTAAATGCAGGGCTCAAAGCCCAGATGAGCAGCTGCCCTTGGAGGCAGGCAGGAAGGGGGCTGAATTCAAATGACCCATTACTCACTCCATGTGTTTTATTCCATCTTCTGCCCTATTTCCCAGCACTCTGCTGAGATGGGGCTGGGGCTGCACAATGTGGTGCTTCCTGCTTGTGCTCCTGCCTCTCGCTTTACGCTGGATCAAAGGAAGTGCAGATATCCTAGAATCCCAGCCTGGGTTGGAAGGGACCTTAAAGCTCATCCAGTCCCAACCCCTGCCACGGGCACGGACACCTTCCACTGGAGCAGCTTGCTCCAAGCCCTGGCTCCAAGGCTCCATCATGTGCAGCAATGATTCCTGTCCCGTCCCCAACCTGTACCACCGCAGCCAGCGAGGACTGAGAGTGCCCTCTGCTGCTCTCCTGATCGGCATCCTTCCATGCAGCATTCCTGAATAAACAAACCAGCTCTTTACTACACAAACCAGCCCTGTCATAAACTAAAGGTCTTTTTGTGCAGGCTCTGCAGGAGCCTGGCTCTGTATTGCAGCACCAAACAGAAAGGATCATGCCCCAGGATAAAAATGGATGATATCCAGGATAAAAATGCACGATATCCAGCATCAATCCCGAGGTGAAAATAAAGCACTTGGAGGGAATCGCTGTCCTTTATCCATTACCTTCACCCCACAGCTTTTCATTGCCTTGGAGCTTTTAAGTCATGGAACTTCCATTTCTTGGAGCTGGCAGCACCGTGTGCGTGATGCACGGGCAGCGATGGGACCCGACCGCACCTCACAAAGCCCCTGCTTATTGCAGCACCGCAGAGGACCACGAAGCTCCACTTATCGATGCCCTTAGTTCCTGCAGCCGGAAAGGAACGGGTGTAGGTGAGGAGGGGGGGGTGGATGTGTCAGGAGAGCTTCCTACTGTTGGAATTAGGAGGAAAAAGGAAAGGGTAACCCCGCTTGCACTGGGCTCGGCTTTACCCACGTGGAGAGCGCCCGCGCCGCACGGATCCGCTCCTACCCCCGGGAATTCGGGCCGGTCCCTCGCACCCAAGCCTCCTGCACCCCAGGCTGTCACTCAAGGCGGAGCCCGCCCCTTCCAGCAGCCTATTTAAAGAGGAGCTGGCGAGCGCCTCGCTCCGAAGGGAGAGGAGGACATCGGAGGGGAAGGAGCGAGCCCGCCGGCAGCCTGGATCCGCCGCTCGGCTCGGCATGGCCGGCAGCCGGGGCACCCTGACCTGCGCCCTGTGCATCCTCCTCCTCGCTCCTGGCTGGGTACGTACTGCGCGGAGGCAGCTCCTCCTCGCTTTGGTGCATGGGGATGCTTTCTGCTGCCGCCTGCCCCTCTGCAGGGTCCTGAGAGCAGCCCTGAGTCGGCCCCTGGATCTCAGAGCTCTTGGCAGATGGGGATGGAGTTGGTGTCGCTCCGCTCGCGGCTGCTGGAAGCCAGCCCTGGTTTACACGGGGGAGAACAGAGAGAGTGAAGTCGCTGAGTTTGTGCCACTGCAAGGAATAAAAGCCTCCTGTCCCAGCTCCTTACCAGCACCATCCTTCCCCTGCTGCCACTGAACCCATCCGTGTGCTCCCCAAACAGGGCATCTCGAGGGGATGCAGCCTCTCCAGCTGATTCTGCTTAGGACTTTTGTGTGCTGTTACAGTGCCAGAGAGGGCAGGGACACGGCTGCAGCCAGGAATGGCTCTCAGTTGCAGTGAGTGCCTTCGGGATGGGTGAGGGAGTGGGTTCACAGGGGCACAGTGCCTCGCAGGGGTTGTTTGCTGACACATGCACTAACCGCCTGGTTGGTGCTTTGCTCCTGGCAGCGCTTGGCATGTGCCAGCTCCTTTCCTGCCAGGAAAGGTGTCCTGGGACCCAGTGCTGCCACCAGCCAAGGCAACCCCTGCAGTTGGGGTGGTCCTTGTGTTCCTTACACTGAGTCAGTGCAAATGGAGCTTTTGCCTGTCTTTGGGCTCTGCGAGGGGTGTTCAGAGGCTCAAGCAAGGGCATTGAGCTGCTCCTCCTGGCCCTGTGCTGCTCAGAGCTGAGAGCAGGACCAGGGCTGCTGGAGGTGTCTTCAGCTCAGGCTGGGCACGTCTGTGCCATGGGGGCAGTGGTTCTTTCTCTCCTAACAGGGTGCTGTGCAGCAGCCTCAGGAAGGTGACTTGAGAGCCTGGGATGGAGGGAGAGCTGGGTCTTGGCTGCTTCATCTGCTGCCAGCCCTGCAGCGTGAGAGGGAACCAGGGATGTGTTCACGGTGTTACTTACACTGTGGCTCCTGCAGCACTTCGTGCACAGCCAGCTCTGCTCCAGGTCTCTCCTTTCCCAGCCCTTTGAATGCAGCCACGAGCCCAGATCCTCTTTGGTTTGGCCTCAGTTGGTTCCCTGGGCTCCTGTGGATGTTGTCAGGAAAGAGAAGCCCTGACGGTGGCACAGAGGTGACACCGAATGGTGTGAGCTCCTGCCCCCCCCTGCTGCCTTCCTGAGGAGCAGAGGGAATTGGTTCATGGGAGTGTGAAGCAGGAAGAACGCTCTCACTTCTTCCACCCCCCCAGGTAACTGGGGTTGGTGCTGGCAGCTGGGAGGAAGCTTGTTGTGTCTTGTCTGCCGAGCAGATGGGACCTGGGAGCTGATGGAGGAGAACGTGCACGGAGCACAGGCAAGGGAATCCTCCAGGCAGATGGTTTCACTCCCACTGGGGCTTGGCCACGGCTCCTGGGAGTGGCAGATCCACACGCGGGGAATCGATAGGAGAGCCGCCAGCAGAGCAGGCGGAGCTGATATTCCAGGCGTCAGCACTTCTTATCCCATCACCTTGATCTCTAACACTGGTTCTGCTCTGCAAACCCCAACAGCAACAGGGTCGAGGCGATAGTGAACTGCTCCAGCCCTCACAGCATCCCTCTGGCCTCGCTCCAGCAGCTCCATGTCCTGATTTATCCTCTTTGAAACTGCTGTGGGAACCACTTCAGTAACAGGGAACTCCTGGAACCTGGCTCAGTGCTGACTGTCCCCAGGTGCAGGAGCTCCCCTCTGCAGGCAGCATTCCCATGCTCCCTGGGAGCCAGGGCACAGCTCTGCTCGTTCTCTCCTCTCTTGGGCCTGGAGCAGGGGTTATAAATAGGAGGAGCTGACTTTGCTCAGCAATAAACCCAGGAGCTGCAGCACACCCTGGGGCCACTGGACCGGGTGAGGAAGAGGCACGTCTGCACTGGGAAGTCTGGGAATGCCGTGAGGATACGGGGGACTTGGGCCTTTTAAGCCACGCATCTGCTGGCAGGTTGGGTGTAATCACCCAGCAGGTCTCCAGTATGGTGGAGATCTGGGTCCAGATGCTTTTCAAGCACCTGTGATATAAGGAGGAAGGGAACAGGAGGCAAAAGCCAGTGGTCAAGTTCCTGTGGTGAGTTATTAAAGGAAATAAACAGCACCGACAACGACGAATGAAGCCAAGAAGGAAAACCCAGCTGGATTTGACTCCATTGCATTCCCTGTTATCCTGAGAGAGGCCGTTTTGGTTTGGTTTTCAGTAGCAGGGCTATTTTGAGAGGGACTCTTTCTATGGCCTGTGGCTGACGCTGCATTGGAAAATGCTGCTCCTCCTTAGTTTTTTCAAGTGCATGGGTTGCATCTTAATATAGGTACTGTGTGAGGGACGTCCCCCCTCCCTCTCATCCATGGTCGAATAACACATCCTTTTGGACGCTGCAGTGATTGCCTGCATGAAGCGCAGTGAAAACACTGCTGTGTTTTCAGTGGCTTTTATTGCCCTCTGTGGTCGGGAGCTGATCCCAGCGATGTGCCGGCTCCCACCAAGCGGCTCTGGGAGCAGCTGGGATACAGGCAGGAGGGGCCGGCTTCCAACAGCCCTTTGTGCTTGGAGTTGCTGCTAGTTCCTGCTGAGCAGGGTGAGACTCTGGGAGGATTCATCCCTGGCAGTGTTCAAGGCCAGGTTGGACACAGGGATTGGAGCAAGCTGCTCTAGTGGAAGGGGTCCCTGTCCATGGCAGGGTTGGAGCTGGAGGAGCTTTAAGGTTCCTCCCAACCCAAACCAGGCTGGGATTCAATGACCCCGATTTGTGAGTTAAGGTTCTGGCTGGACCCCATCCTGCACTGTACCGCACTGGATGTTGCTGCAGAACAAAGCAGTTGGCATCTCCTGACCCCACGTGAGCTCAAGGCAGAGCAGCTGCTTGAAGCAACAGCCACAACAGCTGGAAAAGCTTTCCTGCTGTTATTAGTGACAAACACAATATCCGAGGAAGCTGTTTCACAAGCAGGGGCTGGATGGGACACAATGAGTGCAAACAGAGCTGTAGCAATGCAGTCATTTGACCTTGATTCCTGATTTCCCCCCCAGCTGCTCTTGGGCTCATTCCAGCTGCCTGGAAAAGCCCCTTTCCCTGCCTGGCTCTTGCTGATGGAGCTGTGAGGTTCTGCCCTGTTGGGTGCTCCCCTCTTCACCCAGCTCACAGTAAGGCAGGATCCCAAAGGTGTTTGCTGGCATCATCTACATGCAAGGGGTGCATCTGCCCCTAGGTTGGGTGCAGCATCAGAGCACTGCTAGCTGGAGCAGTGCTCTTGTGTCCCCCGAGCTACCTGGAGAGCATCAATGGGCAGAAACTGCACAGAAAACCAGGCCAGGGCTGGTGCCCGGATGCTCTGGGGAGGTCTTTGTTTAGAAACCGTGTGTTCTGCATCCTTCATAGCCATGCTTTTACATCTTGGCACATCCAGCGCTGAGGCTGCGTTTGATCCAGGCTGGCTCGGGATGAAGATGCTGCAGAGGGAGTTACTGGAGTGCTTGAAGCACCCCGGGGGAGCTCACCCTCCTCAGCCAGAGCCTGAGCTCTGTTTAGCATCTCAAGTGCTGTAAAGCCCAGGGTGGGTATCAGGAGGTACCTAGCACTTCCGAAACCTCACAGGTGGGCAGAAGCAGATCCACAAGGTCCCAAGGGCAGCTGTATCCTCTGCAATGGGGAGAGGAGGGGACGCACCTCTGGGAATAACCAAGGAAGGATGGCATCCAGGGACAAAACAGGACTTGGAGCTTTAGGATGGGGTTTTGGTGCTGCTAAAAGGACTTTGGGCAAGTCCTTTCACCACACACCTCAATTCTCCACCTTCAGATGGGCCTAATGATGCTGCTCCAGTCTTTGATGTCTTCTTCTATGTAAGAGCTGGGAATTGCATCCTGACAATAGCTCCTATTTCCTTGCTTCCAGGGGAGCAGGGGGCTGAGTCACGCAGGGGATCCAAGCCCCTGCTTGTTCTGTTTGCTTTGCCCATGGCTTCCCAGAGCCAGCTTTGGGCTTTATTTTCCCTTGAGCCTCAAGGAGTTGGGGATGAGGAGGTGAGCTCAGCCCTGGGAGCTACAGCACCTCCTCTGCGGCAGGAGAGTGGGGTGAGGTCCTCCCCTCCGCTCCTCTCACCGGGTCGCTCGCAGCAGGATCCTGTTCCTCACTCCCCTGCCCGGCTGCCTTGCGGAAGACTCATTCTCTCCATGCCTTGTTTGCCCTCCAGGTCGAGCCGCAGCCCTGCCCGTACCCATGCCTGTGTCCCTCCCAGCCTGCGCGCTGCCCCGCCGGCACCAGCCGCGTGTTGGATGCCTGCGGCTGCTGCAAGGTGTGCGCCAGGCAGCTGGGCGAGCTCTGCTCCCTGCAGCAGCCCTGCGACCATCACAAGGGACTCTACTGCGACTTCGCCAAGATCCACAGAGGCAGCGGGATCTGCTTAGGTGAGAGCGGGCTCTCGGGAAACCCTCGGCAGCGTCGGAATTCCCTGCAGCGCTTGGAGCTGCATCCCGCAGCACCCGATGGGAGCCCCGGCAGCCCGCAGGTTCCCTGATGCCAACACGCACGCACAGCCTGCTTCCTCCTCGCCACAGGCACAAGTGGGGTTTGGGATGCTCCTTTGTCCCTCTGAAGTTGGTAGGAGGCATCGGCTCATCCCGTAGTGCCTGTGGGTGGACGGCACCAGTCTGGACTTGGGCTGGGAAGTGTTTCTTGTCAAATCTCCCCACCTTGCACTGGGGGTTGGTGTTTTGCACTCAGTGCTTCAATGCAAGGGCCGTGTGGGTGGGAACAGCTGGGCAAAAGGAGTGTGGATGTAGAAATGACACTGAGCCAGGTAAATACACAGCATGGAATCAGGGAATGGTTTGGGTTGAAGGGACTTTAAAGCTCCTCCAGCTCCAACCCCTGCCACAGGCAGGGACACCTTCCACTAGAGTAGCTTGCTCCAAGCCCCTGTGTCCAACCTGGCCTTGAACACTGCCAGGGATGGGGCAGCCACAGCTTCTCTGGGCACCCTGTGCCAGCGCCTCAGCACCCTCACAGGGAAGAGCTTCTGCCTAAGAGCTCATCTCCATAGAGCTGTTTTCTCTGCTGCTGCCTCTTCTCAGCCAGCAGAGGAAAATCCGGCTGCTTTGTGCCTGGTTTGTTCAGTTGCTGGTTTTAAAGCATGCAGAAATGATTCCGGTGTAGAGGAAAACCCCCGATGCTCTCCTGAGTCTCCCACTCCCTGTTCAAACCCAAGCCTCCTCTGCCTGGAAAGCCAGGAAGTGATCGGCCCCTGCATGGGGCACCTCTGGAGTCGCATACATTTGGGTTTTGACTCTAAGCAATGAATTTAGCTTGGAGAAGGCGTTTTCTCCGTTCCTAGGAGAGGTTCTGGGAGGTTGTTTTGTTTTCCTCCCCCAGTTATCGTGATCTTTAGAAGCCCCATGAGCTCCCTTGTGTAAGCATGGGTAAACCTAGGAGCTGCCGATGGGAGCTGAGGGAGATGGATGTAGGTGGGATAGCATCCAGTGGGTGTAAACTGTTGACTGCCTGGTGCAGACTGGAAATGAGGTGTCTGTTTGTGGAGTAAAGGTGGTTAAATCACTGGAACAACTTACTCAGGAGCATGGAAAGGCTGAAAAAGCTGGGGCTGTTCAGCCTGGACAAGAGAAGCTGTGTGGAGACCTCAGAGCAGCTTCCAGTGTCTGAAGAGGGGCTATAGGGATGCTGGGGAGGGGCTCTTCATTAGGGACTGTAGTGATAGGACAAGGGGTAACGGGTTAAAACTTAAACAGGGGAAGTTTAGATTGGATCTAAGGAGGAAGTTCTTTCCTGTTAGGGTGCTGAGGCACTGGAATGGGTTGCCCAGGGAGGTTGTGAATGCTCCATCCCTGGCAGTGTTCAAGGCCAGGCTGGACAGAGCCTTGGGTGCCATGGTTTAGTGTGAGGTGTCCCTGCCCATGGCAGGGGGTTGGAACTGGGTGATCTTAAGGTCCTTTCCAACCCGAACTATTCTGTGGTTCTATGGAGCAAGCTCCATGTCAGACTCCACATTAAGACTGGGCCCCTTTCTAATAGAAGTGATTTGTGTTCTCCATGACACAGGGTTTGACACAAAGATTTGGGGGTGATCCCCCCGTATCCCTCCTCTTTGAAAGTCAGACTTGATGACCACCACTGCCCCTCCTGCCTTTAAATGAGAAATGGAAGTTTTCATGGCAGGAACCCCAGGTGGACCCAGACCGGGATGTCCCCTAAACTGGGTGGAGGGTTTGGGCCATAATGTGCTTGGGTGGTATTTTTGTGGTGTCCACACTGATCCCTTGGAAGATGGGGGATTTTGGAGGCAATGAGGGAAGCTGAGGGTGGAATTGTGGCTGCCCCATCCCTGGCAGTGTTCAAGGCCAGGCTGGACACAGGGGCTTGGAGCAAGCTGCTGTAGTGGAAGGTGTCCCTGCCTGTGGCAGGGGTTGGAACTGGAGGAGCTTTAAGGTCCTTTCAACCCAAACCAGACTGGGATTCTATGAATGCTGAATCAAATACAGGGAGGGCTCAATGCCTCTGAACAGAGAAGAGAGTACTCACAAGCAGAGAAATCAGATGTGATGGGAGCAGAAAGGAGCAGAGCAGTGTTCAGGTGCCACGGGACGAGCTTCTAGGTTGGGGGTGACCACAAAGCTCACACCAGAAGAGACAGGATGGGAGCCATCGCGGTGAAAGCCGCTGTGTTTTTGTTTAATGTCATCTCAGAGCACAGCATTTCACGTGCCACAAATGAGTTCTTCCCTCCCTGCAGAGACCTTGGGGTATCAGGAAGGTAAACACGATCCTGTCGGAAGTCTGGAGCAGGAGAGCCTGAGGGTGCTCGGGCGGCCCGAGTGGGTGCAGGGAGCTGGCAGAGCTCAGCCATGGGAACTCTGCCATAATCCCTGTGGAAAAGGGCAAAAGTCTCCTTGGCGGGAGGGGAGGTGCCCAGCGGGGCTGGTAAATAAGGAGCTGTCCCATTCCACTGGCGCAATCCATCCTGGGGCTTTAATTGGATCAGGTCGAGGGGAAAGTGAGGTCATTGGAGGGTAAGGAAGGGCATGACGGAAGGGTTGAGGTTTGCAAACAGACCAGAGCCCTGAGCAGGCTGGGAGAACAGCACGACCGCTTCACTGGGGAGGAACAGGGCTAGAAAACACTGAGAGAGGGTTTAAAAATAAGCATGAATGGTTGCGGAGAGGGAAAGCAGATGGCTTCCATTTCCATGGAAAAAGTGAGGCTTTGGGACTTCGAAGTAGGAGCTCGGGAGTATTTTTATCCCAAAGGCATTGAAAAGAGTTGCAAGTTGAGGTCCAGCTCTGATTAGAACCACAGCAGCAGCCTGGGTGGATTTGTGTCCCCTCAAGGAGTAGGTGGGATGGGAAGAGGCTCTTGCTCCTTGTTTGCTCCAAACGCTTTCTGCCTGAGACAGTATTCCACGGGTGAGCAGGACTAAGGGGAAAATAGATCAGGTTTCCTGGTAAGCCCCTGCAAGCAGCCAAGAATCCTTCGTGTTGGGAACTTCCCAATAGAGGTTTGTTTTGTAAGGGTCAGGATTGCAGGCATCAGCAGCTGAGGAGAAGTGGCCAAAAGCAGGATTTCTGCCCCGTCAACCACTGAGATTGCAACATTTCAGGCTGAAAAGACCAAAAACCAGCAGAAATACAAAGGATGTCCTCACAAAACTTGTCAGGAGTTATTGAAATGCCTCAAAACGTTCCCCTTCCGTGATATCAGAAGGTTCATCTCAATCTTTATCGTATCTATAATAATTGCCTAAGCAAACGGTTCCCCTGTGGATACAGTCCAACAGGGATTTTGGTTGAGCTCTTGTAAGAGCCTAAAGGAAATCTTTGATAGCCAATTGAAACACTTCCCTTGTTTCTCTTGGGAAACATCCCTGACTTTGGTCCGGGCCTGCAAAACTCTCAATCAGCTACGAGGTTTTGGCTGGAAAACTGCCACTGGAAGAGTTTGGGCTGCTCTGGATGCCAGAACTTGTGAGCTCTGCTGGTGCCCATGGGCTGCAGATGGTGTCAGAGGTTGTGGTGGTTCCTTGTTTTGCTCATTGAAGTTGTACTGGGAAGGAGTGAATGGCTTGCAGGAGGGCTGGGGATGGGAGAGCTGGAGATCAGAACAGAGGGAAGTCAAAGGAGCTGTGGCTGGAAGGAAGAAGAGACTCGCACAACGCAGAGGAGCCCAAAAGGTCATAAACCAGAGTGTTACTTCCCTTCTGTAGGTACCTTTAGACACAGAATCATAGAATCAACCAGGTTGGAAAAGAGCTTTAAGCTCTTCCAGTCCAACCATTCCCAGCACTGCCACTGCCACCACTACCCCATGGCACTGAGGCCTCATCTCCACGCTGTGTGAACACTTGCAGGGATGGCGCCTGCAGCCCTGCCCTGGGCAGCCTGTTCCAATGCCTGAGCACCCTCTGGGGCAGGAATTGTTCCTCAGCTCCATCTAACCCCCCCAGCATCTCCTCAGCTCCTTTCCTCCTTCCCACAGCGCACGAGGGTGCAACGTGTGACCTGCTGGGCAAGATCTACCACAACGGGGAGAGCTTCCAGCCCAGCTGCAAGCTGCAGTGCATCTGCATGGACGGGGCCATCGGCTGCATCCCGCTCTGCTCCGACGACCTGCGCCTGCCATCCCCCGAGTGCCCCAACCCACAGCGGGTCAAGCTCAGCAACAAGTGCTGCGAGGAGTGGGTCTGTGCGGAGGGCGGCGAGGAGAACCGCTTGGACACAGCCATGGCGGGTGAGTGGTGGGCGCAGGGGATGGGGACAGGGGATGTCTGGGGGATGGACAGACCCAAAGCGCCTTTGGGTCGCGGCTCTGACTTGGGGCTGGTTTGGGATTGGTGCTGGCTGCTCTCTGTGTGAGCAGCAAGTGCTCAGCTCTCAAGGTGAGACCTCGGGGATGCTGCAGGGAGGTTCATGCACCCTCTGATAGTGCAGCCGGGATGTGGTAGGAAACGTCCCCACACTTGGCTGCATCCTTCATCAGAGCAGCTCATGGGGTGGACCAGCCCTTTGCTGCTGCTCCTCAAGAGCTACATCAAGCTGGGCGCATCCCGAGCGCTGATCCCTGCCTCGCGGCTCAGTTTTCAGGGAGCATCCAGCACCCAAGCCAGAGGTGAATAACCTGCAGGAGAACTGCTTGGTGCAGACCACGGAGTGGAGCGCCTGCTCCAAGAGCTGCGGCATGGGCATCTCTGCACGGGTGACCAACAACAACCCCCAGTGCCGCCTGGAGAAGGAGACCCGGCTCTGCATGGTCCGGCCCTGCGACCTCCCTGTGGACAAAACCAAGGTACCGGGCTTGGGGACAGGAATGCCAGGGGGTACCCAGGTGGGTGCTTGTGGGGTGTGAGGCTTTGTGATGGAGCACAGGCCTAGGTGGACCCTTCATGTAGGTTGCCCAAGGAAGTTGGGAATGTCCCATCCCTGGCAGTGTTCAAACCTGGTTGGATGGGGCTTGGAGCAAGCTGCTCTAGTGGAAGGTGTCCCTGCCCGTGGCAGGGGTTGGAGCTGGAGGAGCTTTAAGGTCCCTTCCAACCCAAAGCATTCCATGGTTCATGGGACCATCCCATCCCTGTTAACCCGTCTGCTCTCTCCACAGAAGGGCAGGAAGTGCGTGCGGACCCCAAAGCCCCGCCAGAGCCTTCGCTTTGAGTTCTCGGGCTGCACCAGCTCCCGTTCCTACCGGCCCAGGTTCTGTGGGAGCTGCACGGACGGGCGCTGCTGCACCCCGTACGTCACCAGCACGGTGGAGGTGGAGTTCCGCTGCCCCGAGGGGGACTTCTTCCAGCGCAAGATGATGTTCATCAAGGTGTGCTCCTGCCACCACGACTGCCCCAAGGACAACGACATCTTCCTGGCCACCTACCACAGGAGGATGATCGGGGACCACGTCAAGCCTGAGCGGCAGTAGTCCTCCTGTGCCAGACCCATAGGCTGAGGTGTCAAGAGGGCTCTGCAAGCGCTTTCACGGCTGCATCCCAGGACAGCACAGCCTCTTCCCCCTCTGTGAGGGGCTGTGTGTGCCCTTCAGGACCATGCTGTTCACCACCAGTGGTCCAAGCATTGGGAGAACAGCCCCATCTGCTCCAGGCTCCTGACCTTCACCCACCCGAGGCAGGGAAGGGACCAGACACAGGCTTGAGCTTCCAACCTGATCCATGCTCTGCTGGCTGGATGGGAGAGTAGATCCACCCTGTCTCCAGCAACAGGTTGGATCCAACAGGGTGGCAAAAGCTCTTCCCTTGTGCCCACCTTCCACACTTCCATGTGCTCCAGGTCACTCTGCTCCTAAAGAGGCTGGGCCATTCCCTGGGTGACCATTCTCTGGCTGTGCTGTCCTTTGTGCCCTGTTAAACTCCTGTCCTGGTGTGCTGGTGAGGGTGACAGCACAGGCAAGGCAACAGCGAGCTCGGTAGTGTCCAGTGTGGCTCAGGGCCTCCTGTGGGAAGGGGTTTCTGGGGAGAAGAAAGCATCCAGCCAGGCTGCAGCTTCACACTGGTGGGACCGTGACCCAGGGAGCAGTTCTAGCATGGAATGGGTGGGCCTGGGCTGAAAGGGTCACACATCCATTGCTGCATTTCAGCTCCAGGGTCTTTGCTGGTGGGTCCTAAGTCATGGAATCCCAGCCTGGTTTGGGTTGAAGGGACCTTAAAGCTCCTCCAGCTCCAACCCCTGCCACGGGCAGGGACCCCTTCCACTAGAGCAGCTTGCTCCAAGCCCCTGTGTCCAACCTGGCCTTGAACACTGCCAGGGATGGGGGAACACAGCTCTGGTGCCCTGGCAAGAACAATGACCCTGCTGGTAAATGGAATTCCCGAGGTAGCGGCGTGTGCTGGGTGTCTCTGAAGGGGAAAGGAGGATGATCCCTGGGGGAGCAGCAGCCATGCTGCCACACTGCCCACATCTCCCAGTGCATTCAGAGCCTGATGCTGGAGGATGGTCCCATCTGTCCATATCAGCTGGATGCCATCTCATGGCCCACATCTCGGCCCCTTTCCCTGCTCTCAGCCTGTGGAAGCCCATGAGCCTTCTGCCTCCTGTAAGCAGCTGGAGCTGTAAATAATTCATCTGCTCTTCTTTCACTGTGTTCTGAACACTTGTACAGGTTTTGTATCCTCTTAGCACATCCTTGCTCCGGGCCTGCCCTCCCCTTGCCCTCCAGCTCTGCCTTGGACTTGTCTCCCACCATTTACACGGCTCCTGAGTGGAAAACGACGCCGAGGTTGCACTTTACTCACTGCTAATAAATCTCTCTTTATTTTTGATATCCCTGGCATTGAGGTTCCTGCTTGCATTCCCCTCCAGGGCCTCCATGTGGGATCCTCTGCTCCTATTCCCCCTTGTAAACAGCTGTGGGGCTGGTGTTTACACAGCCCATGCTGGGGGGGGGAGTGGTCCCCCCTTTCCCTGCTGAAGGACCCAGAAATCCTTAATTCCCAGTTATAAATAACCCGGGAGCAGATGCGGGCAGGAGTCGGTGATGAGGGAGCCGGAGCGCCAGGGCTTTGTGGTGGCTTAACAGCTTATGGATTCATCCCTCACACCACATTAGGCAGGGGCTCCCCTGCTGCCACCCCGTGCTCTTCCTCCCCACCAACCCTTCCTCCTCCTCGTCGGGGGAGGCTCAGAGCTCCAGGGGGAGAGGTGGGTGATGGGGGGACAAGCTGTGGGGAGGAGGCACAGGGTCAGACCTCACCGGTGTCCCCAGGCACGTCCCCATGGGACACCCTGTCCCCAGGGTCACGCCAGGGCACCCCCCCCAACCAGCCCAACGGGCACCCAGTGTGAGTGCAGGGCCGCCAGCAGAGGGGGTGCTGAGGCCCATGGAGCGCGGTCCGGCCGCTCCGCTGCCCCTTATCTCCGGCAGCCACCTGCTCGCCCCCGATAGCCCAGGCGTGGCCCTAGCGCTGCTCAGGGACCCCGGTGAGCAGCAGGGACAGCGCCAGCCCCACCTCGGCTCCCACCGCCCTTACGGTGGAGCCCCCCAGGGCCCCCCCCAGCCCCGGGGGACCCCAAAACAGGGGGGAAACGGGGAAAACGCCTCCGAAAGCCGCGGTTCGGGGACCCCGCGCTGCCCCTGGGACAGCGGCACCCGGGGGGCGCGCTTTGTCCTTATATGGGGTGGTGACGTCACGGAGCGCATCGCGGCTGGGAACCCTTGGCCCCGCCCCTTGGCCCGCCGTGACGTCACGCCGCCACCTGCCCGCCCCTCCCACCGCCGCGCCGCTCCGCCGGCCCCGCCCCTCCGAAGGGCGGTGGCGGCAGCCAATGGGCGCGGCCGGCGGAGCAGGGGGGGCGGGACGCGCGCTGACGTCAGCGGGGGCGGGGCCTGCGGGGCAGGTGGAGCAGCGCGGTGCGGAGCGGAGCCGGGACCCCGGGCCGGGTGAGCGCCATGGGGGGCATCTGGGGGGCACAGGGGAGGGTCTGTGGGGGGTCACGGCGGTTATGGGGCAGGAGGGGCCATAGGGGAGCAGGGGCACCTTGGGGGGGCAGTTGGGGGTCAGAGGGGTTATGGAGTTGGGGAGCTTTGGGGCTCCCTAGAGGGGCCTGTAATGGGTCAGTCTGGGCCCCAAGGAGGACTTAGGGTGCTCTGGGGCACATGGGGGATAGGCTGGTTATGGGGTGGGGAGCATGGGGGAGCCGGGGTACTTTGGGGTGTCTCTGAGAAGGTTGGGGCAGTTCTGGAGTTGGGGGATTTTGGGGCTCCCTAGAGGGACCTGTAATGGGTCAGACCCCAAGGAGGACTTGGGGTGCTCTGGGGCACATGAGGGTCTGGGGGTCAGGCTGGTTATGGAGGGGTTACGAGGGGACATGTAGTGCTGTGGGGTGAGGGATCTGTGCTGGGGTCAGGTGAGATGTGGGGTGAGAGGATGGGGGGTGCAGGGGGACCTGCAGAGGTCTAGCTACGTGGGAGGTGTTTTAGGGTGCTCTGGGGTTTGGGGGGGTCAGGCTGGGTGTGGGGGACCCACAGTGGGTCAGTTGTGGAGCAAGGGGGGTTATAGGGGCAATGGGGGGGCTGTGAGGCTGGGAGAGGCCCTGTGGTGTCAGGAAGAAGATGTGGGGTGCTCTGGGGTGGGGGGGCCCTGTGGGGTCAGGCTGGGTGTGGGGGGACTGAGGTGCCCTGGGGCTGTAGCAGGGCCCAGGAGTGGGGCTGAGCAGGAGGATATGGGGTGGGCAGGGCTGGGGGTGCTCAGAGGGGGCCCACAGTGGGCTCAGGCTTGGGAGGACAGATGGGATGCAGGTGGATGGGGTTCTGCACCCCCCATAGTGTTGTTCCCACTGGTGCACCCTTGGGCAACCGGGTTCCCCCCCCCCAGGCAGTTGGCATCTGGGTCTCGCTCTGATTTAGTGCTCACTGGGTTCACTCCTGCTCCACCTCGGGGCTCCCGCGTTCCTTCCCCTCTCTTCAAGACCCCTCTGCACCCACCGGGACAGCTCCCAAAGCTGCGGAGCGCCGGGGCCCTCCTCCTCCTCTTCCTCCTCCCGTCAATGCTCATCCCAACGCGGATCGATGTCGCGCTCAATGGGGCAGCATTAAAACCTCTCCATCGACTTCTCCTCTGCACCGTCAGGAGCGGGGGATTTCTCTCCCCACATCCCCTTCTAGACCCGCCTGCGTTGTGCTGATGTTGCAACCGGAGAAGCGTGGGGCAGGACTCGGTGGTTCCTTGGTTCCTCCAATCTCTTCCCTTCCTGAATTCCACCCTCTTGCAGCCATAGCACCACGAGGGTGAACGTGCTCCGTGCCGGGGGTTCTGCCCTTCCCTGTGTCCCGGTGGGCTCGGCAGCGCCGTGGGTCCGAGCGCTTCCCATGGCTGGGGCTATCTTTAGGGCTGTGTTGCAATGGAGGGTGGTGCCTTGGCCCGGTGCTGCCGGCAGCCGCCTCCTCGCCCAGGGATTGACTTACACCAGGGTTCCCGCGTGGGAAAAGTCAACACGTGCTCTGCTTGTGGGGCTGAGCCATAGGGTCAGGGAGTGCTGGCTGCTGCAGGGGTTGGCACTGGGCGATGCGAGGTCAGGCTGTGCAAAGGGGCGGAGGTTTGATGTGGGGGGGGCCAGCAGCCCCCCAGCAAAGTCACACATGCTTGGGCACCGTCCAGCAGCAGGACTGGCTGAGCCGGAGCAAATGGACACGGATGGGGAAGCCGGTGGGGCGAGGGAAGCTCTGCTGTCCCATGGGATTGAGCAGCCTTGGGGTAGAGGAGCAGGGCGCAGCCCTCTCTATCCCTCTGCTGCTCCCTTCCAAGGCTTTAGCACAGGCAGGGATGCGGCTCAGGGGTCAGGGCTGCCGGTGGCAGCGCGTGCGCTCCCCTCCTCATCCTCTTTCCGCTGGAGTAATCCCTTAGCGTGGCAACACCTGGAGCTCCGGGTGACACGGGGCTGAGGTTCCCCGTTTGCTTTTATCCTTCCCCCCGTGCCCCTGCTGGTGCTGATGGTGATGCAGCAGCTCCGTGCCAGGGTCTGCAAGGAGGCGGCTGGGACTCACGGAGCAGTTTGTGTGTCCCCACACCGGGTGTGCGGCTCCCCCGCTCCGAGACCCGGTGCGGATGTGGACGTGGGTCTCCCGCAGCTCATGGTGGTGCTGGCGGCTCCTCCTGTTCCTCACCCCAAGCAGGGCACATGCCTGGTGCGTGTCGCGATGGGAGCGGCGACTCGGCGGCAGCTCCAAGTCCCCCCATGGTGGTGCTGGAGCCGCTCTGCGGGCAGCGGGTTCCTCCTGCATCCCCTCGCTTCGTGCCTCGGAGGAGCTCGAGGCCTTCCCGAGAGGGTTTGAATCCCTGCCGAGGACTGAAAGTGCCTTCTCATGCGCCGCGGTGCTGCTCCGAGGCTCCGTCTCCTCCCGCAGCCTGGAGTCGCCGGCAGCCGCATTGCTCCGCACCGCGCGCCGGGGAGGGTCGCTCCCGGGGTAAGGAAAAGCATCGGCTCTTCCCCAGGGATGTGCCACTGATTTAATACAGAGAGAAGATTTTCCCGAGCCGCTCCCCATAGGGACCAGGCTGCAGGTGATCCTGCCCGGAGCGCAGATTCCATCTGCTCTGAGCAGTGTTTTACCTTCTGTGCGTGACCCCAGCCAGGGAAGAGGCTTAGGGCTATGGGGGCT